CTCAATTATTGGATTTTCATAAGTTTTGCCATTCACACCAGGGAGCTGAGCTTAGCACATGTACTTTCCTAAGTGACCAGCTGTCATCCGGGAATTCTAGAACTGAAAGGTTAAATGTGAGGTTAAGTGAGAAAAGCAGAGTGAAAAATGACCTGTATGCTGTGATTACTTTAGATACATATTTTTAGAAAAAGACACATTAAGAACACAGAGGAAAAATAAATAAAAACAGTTGTAAAGGAATTTTCTTCCTTTTCCCCCACAAGTTGTGTTATGTGGCTATAATTTGTACGATGAATGTGCATTCATTTATTTTTAAAAGTGCAATGGTGACATCCCATGTGGACGGCTGTGACATCGTGGACAGCTCTGTGCCCAGGGGCAGACACAGGCTCTCTCTTCAGGGCAGTGTCCGCCCCCCCACCCCCCTTGGAGTCTGTCCCCAAGGCCAGTAAGGACAGTACAGGGATGTGGCCTGGGGGAGCGGTGGGACAGAGCTGACGTCACTTTGACATCCATGACCATCCATGATATCCAGGGTCTCGTGTCCTCTGGAAGTGCCTCTCCATGTCAGTTGTCACCTGGAGGGATTAAGAGGGACTTTGGGGCCGAGGACCAGCGTCCTGCAGGCGACCCTGGGAGGAGCAGCATCTAGAAGGGCCGACTCAGTCTGGGCAGTGGTGCCCTGAGAGTAGGCAGCCCCTACTCTCTCAACAAAGGCCACCCGACACCTTGAAACACAAAATATTCTTTTATTTGTCAACAAAGGCTACACGGGGTCACTTCTGGTTTTGTATTTTATGCCTCTTTTTTTTTTCTAGAAGGTATCTACATCTGCATTTATGTACAGCCTTGTCGGTATTTACACAGTCAGGAATACAGTGTTAGAAACACAAATGTGTTGAGAAAAAAATTTCTCAAAAATGAGTTCCAGACTTCAGGAAAACTAGTTCCGCATGGTAAGGCCAGAGTCTCCAGTGCTGGTCATCAGAGGCAGCTCGGAGAGTCCTTCTGCCCAGGCTGCGGGTTCAGGAGTCTTCGAGGACAGGCAGGTTCAGAAACGTGGGATTCTGGGGCTGGGTGAATCCTGGGCTCGGGGAGCCGCCTGACCTCTGGGACCCAGCTTCTGACAGGCTAGCTGGGCTGCCCAGGAGTTGGTTCTCTGTTGGCAGTTTGCCCTCAGAATCAATCACATTTTCTTGGGGACCCAGGGGTGGCCCAGTAGCATGCTTTTGGCATTCCAGAGGGGGTAAGAAACCCAATGTTGGCCCCACCTAGGCCTCCCCCCGCTCTGATCTTCCACATTCATGATGAAACCTAAGAGCTCACCGCTGTCTGGGGCGGTCAAGTACACAAGGCTGGTTTTTGAGAATGTAAAAAAGGGTAGAGAGGATAAAGTTTCGATCACCTGAGCAATGAGTCTTTAAAATTAGAGTTTGCTGTTTTTTTGAAGGTTAAATGAAAGGGCCTTGAACTCCAGAGTTCTTTCTTTGAATCCCCTCCTCTCCAATAAAATAGAGAGGAGTGTATAAACCTAGCGGGGAATTATGGGCATTCGATAGAGTCCTAGTGAGGACCCCAAGGAGAGCCTGGGCTCCTTCTGAGATCCCTCGGGAGGTGGGCTCCCCCTGGGGACCAGGGGTGGTAGCTGCTGTGAGGAATGAAGAAAAGAATTGACTTTGAATATCAGGAGCTCAAACCCCAAAGCTGGGGACCTCGCTGAGGCCTGGCAAGCTCCTTCCTCCTGGGCCCAAGCTCAGCATCGCTGCCCTCACCACGTGGTAACCCCAAACCCAGGCTGCAGGTGCGAAACTGGTTCTAAGATTTCACACTGAGAGCCTCGCCTCTGCATAATGGAAACTCCTGCCCGCTACACAGGTGGCACTTAAAAGTCAGAGCTGAAAAGGTCCTTTCTTTTTTAAAATTAATCTGACTCCTTGTTATGTGTCTATAAAACCATGGCCCAGTTTTCCTCACCTTTGGCTCCCAGCCCCGCCCCATCCTGATGATTGACAAGCACACCTCCTGGCCATTCTCAGCCTCGGGTTGGTTTCTCAGGGATTGTTTCAAATCCAGAGCCGTGTCTGGAGCGTGGGTAAAGTGGAAATCTTATCCAATAAAAACAAAGTTGGGGTATCACAAAAGTCCTATTCCAGGTGATGGCAGAGGGCTGGCTGAGGGTGAGGAGCTGGAGGCAGCTGCGAAGGGTAGGGGAGAACTCTTCCAAGGTAAATTTTATTCTGACATCCTGCAGAGTCATGAACCTGGGCCCGTGAAGGATGGCTGGTGGCTCCAGGGGATGGACACACTTTGGTTGAGTGGTACTAAAAGGGCAGGTGCCATCAAGGTTGGGATTTGATGCCTGGAGGCCACTAAACAGGCACAGGGACCTCTGGCTTATGCCTTCAGATTCCCTCTTGCTGTGAGGGTGGGGTTGCTGGTCTCAGCAGGAGGACAGACTGAGAGGGGACGCACAGAGTCACCTGCCAGCCCAAAAGGAAACCAACTCTGAACCAGCCAACAAGACCAGGGCCAGAAGCATGTCTCCAATAGCAACAGCACTGAAGTGAACCAGGTGCCTGATGCTGCCTACTCCTCACCTGAGATCCTTTCCCTAAAGCCTGGGGTGCTTCAGCTTCTCCCTGCACAGAAGCTGGGCCGCCTTGGTGGTAGGCAGCCCAGGAAAAATAGAACACCGATCATTTAAAGAAAAGGAATGATTCTGTGTTTTTGATCTCTAAAAGTTCACACTATGAGTTTGGTGGGGGTGCTGGTGAGGTCAGTGGTTGGGGAGATGCAGGGAGATGGCTCCCTTGGCCCTCACGCTGTCTCTGGCCTCCAAGTGGACGTCCCCAGCAGGTCTTGACTGATGTTCGGCAGCCAGGATGGAACGGATCAACTGGGCCTATTGAAGGAGAGCTTTGTCCACGGGCCCCTATGGCAAGAGTACGTTTGGAGAGGCAGAAGCCCATTTTGCATAAAAAGCCGTGTTCTGCAGGCCACGCTGTTTTCCATCCCCTCTGGGAAGGCTCCTACGGGACGGAGCCCACCCCCAGCTCCCGCCCTGTAGAGTGGACCCGAGGAGCTCTGTATCTGACTTGGGCCACCAGTGGACCAACAGGCCACGGCGCCCTGTCGCAGTGGCATGACTTTTTTTTTGGAAACAGGAAGAGCACTTAGCGAAACACATCCTTTGATCCCAGTGGGATGACATAAGGCGAAACCTCCTATCCCGAGAAGCTGTGGGTGCCTCCCTCTGCCAGGCAGAGCCCGGGCTCCACGCCGCTCCGATTCTCATGCAGTGAGAGACCTTCTTGGTTTCATTAACTTGTGTAATATTCTGAAGACTCTGTGAGTAAGGCCATAAAGGTGCCATGAGCTTATCAGTCCAACAAGGTTGCCACGGAGAATAGCTCAGACTCAGAATTCATTTTCCACACTTAATGTAAATGTAACCCATAACAGTCCCGTTTTCTAAGAAGCCCAGCTCCACAGGAAGCCTGTGGCTTCCCATCCTGGTCTCCCAGAGCCTCCTGTGAGTGGTGGTGATGATGATGGTAAGTGGGCAGATGAACCAGGACCCAGAAGCTCCCAGCTCTTGCTGCTTACCCTCCCCTCCATGCTTCCTCTGGCCTGGCTGGCTGCTGCCTCTCCCCGGCTGTGCCCTCCAGGTATGGGTTGTACCCACTCCTGACAGGGCTGGAGCCTTCTCCCAATGACCTCAGGCATCGGTATGCCTGCACAGGGACAACCTCCAGGATCCATGGGCACCAGCCTCAGGAACGGCCCCCAAACCTGGCGGGGTTGCGTGACATCACCAGGCCGCCTCAAAGCAGCTCTTTCCCTTCTTCCTTTTCCCTCTTTCTTTGAAGCCATCATTGGGCTCCTCCGGGGTTGGGAGGGGGCTGTTTTAGAGTAACGTCACGGGAGGAGTTTCCCGAATGCCTCTCCTGCTGCATTCTGTTCTGCAGGAGCCCATATGGGGAAGCTGGTTAGAGGGAGGCTTGGCTCACGCCTTCCTCTCTTTGGCTGACTCTTTCTTAAACATTGTTCCAGAATCAAAGGCCACCAAGCACCTCTCTCCACACTCCAGTGTCTCAGTGTTGGCAGCTGAGCAGTGGTGGGAAGGCGCCCAGCGTCGTGGGGAGAGGGCTTCACCTAGAAAGGCATGCTGGTACCCGTGCCATCATTGCCATCTTTTGCCCTGGGTGGCCTTCCCCTCCCTGGACATGGTGCCCACACTGAGGGCTTGCTTTGCAGTGCTGGTTCTCACGTCTGACTTTGGGAGAGAAGAGGAGATCAATAAGGAACATCGTGGAAGGACCAACCAACCACAGTCGTCCTGAAGGAAGAGGCTCTTAGTCCCAGGACGTTATGTCACCAGACTGGGGGAAAGGACCTGGCAGACACTTTCTCCATCCCAGCCTGGGGGTGGCACCAACAACTACACAGGATTTGCAAAAAGGGGCGGGGCTTTTCATTTAGCATCAAAATATAAAGCGTGAGCAGCAGTTTGGGGCAGCTTGAAAGAGGTGCTGAATGACATCATGAAACCCCCCCAGAGAAAGACGAAGCCATCTGTGGTTCTCCGGAGGCATGGAACACAGTGAATAAAAAGCCACCACTCATCTGCGGGAGCTTAGCCGGGGATCCTCAGGTCCGGCAGACCCTCCTTCCAGCCCCCCTTAGAAGTTTGGTGCTGGCCTGTTACCTACACCCCTCACTCCTGCCCGACCCCCACTGAGGAAAGGGTTGCACATGAGACAAGTTAGCACAGACATTCGCGTCTCACATCACACTGGGTACCAAGGGACAGACAAGGACACATCCCAGGAGATGCGTCTCAAAGAGAAGAAATGTACCCCAAACAACAAGGAAAAATCCTCAAGGAAAAGGGAACAAAAGACAATAAAGTTTTCATTGTGATCACACTACAGAAAAAAAATACCTTCTGTTCTTTTCAAAAAATGTGTGAAGGCCAATTTTGTGTTTTTCTTTTCTTAAAAAAACGAATGTTGCATGAGTTACAATGCAACCAGTATCTTTTTTTTTGTTTGTCTCTTTTCTGCACTTGTTAAAAAAAAGGAATTATTTTTTTTTAAAAGTACAACACAGTCAGGTGTGCGGCCACAAAAGAGTAGCTGTCTTTGGCAAGAAGTCCGGGCCGTGGTCCTCTCTGTCACCTGCGGCCCATCTCGCTCTGTCTCATGAAGTGGATGTTGTTGGCGCTGTCTGACAGTTCTGGGTACTGCTCCACGGAGATCACGAAGAAGCCATCGTAGCCTTGAACCCGCCCTGTGTCCAGCACCTGCTGCCTCTCCCCCTCTGTCCAGGCCCGCAGGCCCTCCTCCCCTTCCCGCAGTCGCTGCTGCTCGCGGGCCCACGCCCGGCGCACAGCTCTCTGCCGGGCCAGCTCCAGCACCCGCGCTTTCTCCTCATCCAAGGTCGTCCCATAGCGGGTGTTCAAGCACAGGGCCCCGTACTGGAGCTGAATGTCTGTGTAGCGTCTAGTCCTGCCATTGAGCATCGTGTTGATCTGGGACACGGTGACATTGACCCCATTCTCCAGGGTTCGCCGCCCCCCGCTGAGGCCCAGGATGGCCAGGTCGCCTTCCGAAGGCCCTGGTTTCACAAAGTAGTGGGTGTCCACCCCGCCGATGGTGAAATGCAGGTCCTCTAGGTAGTGGGCATTGTTCAAGATGGCGGCAACCCTCCGCCCATCCTCGTTGGCCACACTAATGATGTCTGTGGTCACGCGGCCATCCTTCAATGCAAACTTGACCCCCTTGCCAAAGACTGAGCCACTGGATGCAAACTTCTTTGTCTTTGGGGCCTGCTGGCAGCTGGTGATTGTGGAGCCATAGAGCTGGTCAAAACGTTCTAGGGTGACGAAGGCCTTGAGCTGCTTTTGCACTTCACACTGTACCCCCAGGATAGACTGATGAGGAGAGAGAGATATGGGTAGGGAAAAAGAGAGTGAGACAAAGGGAAAAAAACCAAAGGCCTGGAGAATCAGTTTATATAACTAAGTCAAATCTATATTTATATAAGATATAGCACATGGCTCTACTCCTGATCACTGGAACATCCAGCCATCCTCTCTCCATCCCTTCACCTATTCAGAAACTGTTCAGGGAGTATCTTCTCTGTGCCAGGTCCTTTCCTGGGCACCGGAGATACAACAATGAATCCGATGCTACCCTACCCTTGAAAAACTGATCCTTTAATGGGAAAGACAGATATGCCAACAAACGACTGCAGTCAAAAGTGATCCCTGGTGGCCTCAGAGCAGTAATAGCTGTAGCTAACATGTCCTGGTCTTTGAGAGAAATAATTCACATTTATTGTCTCATTTCATCTCCACAATAACTTCATATATTGGTACTGTTAGTATCCTGACTTTACAGCTAAGAAAACTAAGGCTCAAAGAGGTTGTGACTGGCCCACCAAGTATTCAATTTAACATTCAAACCCAGGTCTGTCTGACTGTAGAGGCTCAGTTTCAAGGAAGGGCTTAAGTGAGGAGCAAACAAGGATCAGACTGCCTCAGCCTGAAGGTGGAGGAGTGAGGTGGAGAAGGTGGGGTTCAAGGACAAGCTCATGTGGGAGCTGGGACTGGAAGGATGAGGGGGTGATGTTAGATGGAGGAATGGCAAGAAATGCATTCTTGGCAAGAAAGCTTAGTAAGATGCCAAGCAGTGATTTATGTAAACCCTCTTACTCTGCTTTATTGCTCTCTGCTGGGTTTATAAATGATTTTCAAGGAGGGCCTCCACCCCACAGTGCTTCCTGGGAGATCCTCAGGTGTTCCTGCTCTTGGCTGCTCTGGGGGATACTTTGGGCCCTATCTTGGCATAC